GTGTGCGGAGATCCGTGTCGTTGGTCTGGACGATTCGGTGACGCCGCAGGAACTCGCCCTCACTGTCGGGAAAGTGGGTGGTTGCGCGACAGAGTCAGTGAAGGTAGGAGAAATCCGCCGGGATCGTGCTGGCCTTGGAACGGCGTGGGTGCGCTGCCCAGTCGCGGCTGCGAAAAAGGTCGTAGACGGCGGGCGCATTCTGGTGGGCTTCGTGTCGGCGAGGGTACATCTCCTGGAGCCTAGAGCCCAAAGATGCTTCCGCTGCCAGGAGGGAGGCCATGTTGCCGCAAAATGCTCGGGCAAGACGGACCGTAGCAGCCTGTGTTTCCGTTGTGGACAGACGGGGCACAAGCGCAGCGAGTGCACTGCCACACCCCATTGCGCAGTATGCGAGGCTGCGAAGAGGAGCGCAGACCACTCTGTGGGGAGTGCTGCGTGTGTCCGGGCTCAGAAAAATGGGCCAAAACAACGGAAGGAGACATCTGGGCCCAAAGGGCAAGAGAGATCAGCCCAAAATAAGGACGCGTCGGTGGAGAACATGGAAACACAACAATAATGGACCTAAAGTTTCTCCAAGGGAATTTAAACCACTGTGCCAGAGCGCAGGACTTGTTCGTCCAAAGCCTGGTGCAGTGGTCCATACAAGTGGCGGTTGCGGCGGAGCCTTATTCGGTCCCACCGCGCGACAACTGGGCGGGCGACAACGACGGGCTGGTGGCCATCGTCTCTCAGGTCGCCGCGGGTGCTCCGCCCTTTACGCGTATTGTAAAGGGATCGGGGTGCGTCGCGGCACTGCTGGGTGACACGGTGGTCGTGGGAGTCTATTTTTCCCCCAACCGACCCGTCGTGGATTTCGAAGAATTTCTCGATGAGGTGGCGCAACTCTCTCGCTCGTTTCAGGCCAGGAACGTGGTCATCGCGGGGGACCTTAATGCGAAGTCCAGCATGTGGGGCTCGCCATCAACGAATGCAAGGGGGAGGTTGCTAGAGGAATGGGTAGTTACCACTAATTTGACTGTCCTTAACCGAGGGACGGCAAACACGTGCGTGCGACGGCAGGGTGGGTCCATCGTGGATATCACATTCGCGAGCCCGGCCTTAGCGCGCCGTGTCCGGATGGGATGCCGTCCTGTCCTTCTGCGAGGTGGTGATGTCGCAGAAGGAGGCGGCGGAGAGGGCGAGAGAGGCCAACGCCGAGCTCGCCATCCGCCGCAGAAGGACCGTGCGTCGGAGAGCGGCGCACGATCGCCGCCTCCCCCCTTAACACCAGCCAGAGGGCGGTCGGCTTGGGGAAGTCGGCCGCCCACTAATCTGGCCCGAGTAGGCGTGCGCGGAGACGTCCGCGCGCATCTCGAAGAGGCCATTGGGGGTTAGCCCCCTGATACGGGATGGGCCGTAAGAGGCTCTCGCCGCTGGGGTTTACAGAGGAATACGGATACCTGTGACTCCAACTTTGTGGCGACAAGGTGGCCTTTCGTCAGGTTTTTAGTGGGTACGCTGCTGCGCGTTTTCCATCTTTGCGCGGCAGGAGCCCCACACAACCCGTTCCGCCTATCCCCAGGCGGACGGGAACAGGGTTTTCCTGACGTTAAAAAAAAAAAAAAAAAAAAAAGGGTTGGTGTTTTTGTTCAGCACATATGAAGTGGTTGTTAAGTGATTTACAATCGTCGCTTGAGCAAGTATAGCATTCGTTCAGAGTAATAAATTTATATTTTATATAACAAAATGATGTGGCTCGTAATGTAACTTGTCCCTTTAAAAAAATAGTTTGTTTTATGAGTCCATTGAAAATTTTATTTGACTTTGTGAAGTGTTTCAGGGATGGAAGTGCGCAACGGACGGGAAATAGCTTTACGTTAAAATGTTGTAGTTAGCTGGATATCAACACATTTCTGGCTGGGGTACTGAGTGTATAACATTTATATTGTTGATATCACAGTGCAACTGCCTCGGTGGTGTAGTGGCTAGCATGTACGGCTGCACACTCGGAGGTCCTGGGTTCGAGTCCCGGGTCGGGCCAAGTTTAGTTATTGAGTCTTTCTGTATAGTAAGTCTCAGTAACAGCCCGGAGTTGGGAAGTTGGCGGTGTTTCACCCCCGTGCCTCGGAGAGCACGTAAAGCCGTCGGTCCGAGTCAGTCACAACAAACAGTCAGAGTCCGGAACGATTTTCGCCTCTACTGGAATTCATGGAAAGGTAACTATATTATTAGTTAATCTTATTTCTCAAAAATTTCCCTTTGTTGTTTGGTCTTTGTCATACCTACTCGAGAACTAGAGAAATACGAGGCTCTTCTTAAAAGGCTTTAATTGCATAACCGTATATTTCAGTAATGTATTTAATATAGACATTTTCTCTGATAGCCTAAGTTTATTTAAAGAGAAATTATATTTATATATTACGATAAGGTTCATTTGTTGTACAACTCGAATGGCCACTAGTTACCAATTTATATTTTTTGTTTTACTACATACATAAAATTTAAATAAAATATTTCTAAAAATGCTGTGCCTACATTTAAGTTAAATTTATATAGAAAACAGAAAGGTAATAATGTGTTAACTCATCTCACTATGTACATTTAGTTAGTAAGCCTTTGAAAATAAATAAACTATAGTAGGTTTACTACTTGCATAGGAAAAAATCCAAAACGATTGTATTCACCTGTTTGCTTAATGAATTGACCCTTTGTTTCTCTAACATAGTTTTAACTTATAGCCATGGTGATATAATAAGGCCCCAGCAAGGGGCTTATGGCAGGATAAGGGCAGACCGTTTATAGCAGAAGTTGGGAGAGTCAACTCCATTGGTGGAGGAGTTAATAAATCAATGAGTATTAAAATTCTCAAGAAAAGCTCTCAATAAAATTATACTTTTTATTATAGGTATAAGCGGTTATTCATTATTGACATCTAAAATACTTGTTATATTGTGTGAGTTAATTGTGTGTACTTTCGTGTAAATTATTTGGGGTTATTGTGTGTGTTTGTGCAGTTTCCGTACGATAGACAGAAGAAAAGTGAGTAGCAAAGAGATTGCATATTTCTTTTTCTTAATTAGTGCTATAGCTGTCCAATGACATAGATGTAGGCAAAAAGTTCATGTTACGTTTGCTTTTATAGTGTTTCCAAAACAACATCGGGTTCTTGGAGATATTATATTCGACGTTTCTTTTATGGGTTTTATAACAACTATCAAATAAATTATGGCAGCGACTACGCAATATTTGAAACTCTAATTTATCCCTAGGATTACCATATTTTCGATATTTGATACGGAGTTTCTCCTTCTCCTTAAGTAACTTGGTAAGGTTGTGGTTGAACCAATTTGGATACTTAGAACTTGATAATTTTCGCTTGGGTACCAAACGCTTTATTATGTCGTACAATGTAGTGTAAAGGATCTCAACCATGGCATTAACATTTACAATACACACATAACATTTACAATTAGAGAATTTGTGTTGCCAAACTATATTATTCAATTTGTTAACAACCTCTGTATAGTCGGCCTTATAAAAACTATATCTTACACAAACTTTGGGCCGGAGGTAAGATAAATGTGGGTACGAGACACTTATTAATAGATTCGGATGATATGAATCCAGTCTGCTTAACAAATCAAGAGGCTTAGCTACAGTTACATTTGATATATTGGTAATTACCAGGTCTAAAAGTTTGTCATCACAATTCTTAATATTATTGTACTGGTGCAAATCGTTAGCAGACATTAAATCAATTAATGAGTAACCGAGCGCGTTATGATAATTTGATGGAATCATATACGAACAATTATCACCTACATTCCATTCAATAAAACCCATATTAAAATCACCTATTACTATCACGTCATCAATTTGATTAGTAACAAGATCTATATTCTCAAAAAAATTACGAGCATTTTCAACTTTAACTGGAGGTGGCAGATAGACAACACAAAGAGCAATTTTTTTAACTAACTGATCACTATTTATGTGCAATAATACCCACATATTTTCATCGTCTGTGTCCCAGTGAGATACTCGACAAGAAGAAATATCTTTAGATACAGCTATTAATATACCTCCTCCACTTTTTTTTGTATTTTTGGAACAAATACGATCCTTCCTATAAACTATGTATCGCGAATCAAACAGCTCATTGTTAGAGATAGAGGAGTTTAGCCAAGTTTCAGAGAACGCTACAGTTTTATAATCAGAATTTAGGACATTTTTCAAGATATCGTTCGTTTAAGTTCTTAATCCTCTTACGTTTTGATAATAGATTTCTAACATTGTTTTAATTAACACCCATAACATTTGTATGAATAATGATATTAGTTGATAAGCCTAAGACAGTCTTCATTTTTGATTAGTTTAGCTTGACTAAATTCATCCTTCCTTACGAAAATTTTTCCATTTCTAACCCAAGTGAAGCGGTACTTCATTTCTTTCGCTTTTATACGTGTGGCCGCGTGAAGTGCTTTGTTCGTCGGTGATAAATGTTCTGAAATATATATAGGTTTACTAGTCCCTCCAATACCTAGGTGATGTGAATTTAGTTTATCGTTAGGATTTTTTATGTTAAATTGGGTAACAGCCGCAAGAATAGCATCACGATGCCTTGCACTTCGCAGTTTAACGATGACGGATCGTGGTTTCTCGGTATTCCTGTTTAATTGCGCAACTCTAGTTACATGTTGTATGTCATCTTCTTTTAGAGGATTTGCAATAATATTACCTAATTGAACAATTCTATTCTATTCTATTCAGCCCTTTTTAATGTCCCACTGCTGGGCACGGGCCACCCTTCAATACGAGGGGGATCAGGCCATAGTCCACCACGCTGGCCAAGTGCGTGTTGGCGGACTTCATATGTCTTTCAAAAACTTGTTAGGTTCTCTGAGACATACAGGTTTCCTCACGATGTTTTCCTTCACCGTAAGGCAAGTGGTAATCATGTTGAAAATGATTCGCACATGAAAATATCAGAGGTGCGAGACCCGGGATTTGAACTCGCTTCACTCGGTTTCCCAAGCGAGCGCGTTACTTGATAAATTTTCGCTTTTATTTTCAGGAATACCGTTTATTTCGATGTTGTTCTCCCTCATGTGTACTTCAACAGTATTTAATCGGGACGTAAGGTCTTTAACTGAGGCTTTAAGGTTATCGTTTTCACGTTTTAGTTGGTCGACTATGTTGGATTTTTCCTCAAGTTTTGCTTTCATTTGTTCATACTGCTCGTTAATAAAGTTCAGTGATTCACAAAAACCGTTTATTTGGTCATTCATAGTATTAAGCTGCGTTGTTACTAAGTTCTGGATTGTTGTGGCTAACTCTTGCTGTATAATATTACGTAGTTTGCATTCTGTGAGGTCTGTGTTATCGACTTTGTATTGAGAGTTAGAACGTTGTGGCGATTGTCTGATTTTTTTACGTTTCGTAACATAGGATACTTCCATACAGTCAGTGGAAGACTTACTACAATCGTCTGAGGTGGTAACTGACTGGTGTATGTATGTTGCCTAGTTTCGGTTGCCTATTCAAACACTCGGGACACTTCCAGTTATTTTTTAGATGTAAGTCCATTTGATGAAACTGTCTTAGAGGTACATTGCCACATTCGGTATCATATTTCGCTTTGCAATTATTGCAAATAAGAAATTCCTTCTTTGGTAACGTAGTTTTGCATCCCGCACATATATTATTATTTGACGAGGTATTGGACATTTTCACCAGTTATTAATGTTAATAACAATTTAAAATTCAAATATTAAAATGAAAATAAATGCCGTGCAGAAACTGAGATTTGAACTCGGGTCGCGCTATTACATTTGCTTAAAACCACACGTGCGACCACCGGGCCAAATCTTTCTTAAGGGCGAACGGCGAATTATTTGTGCCTTATGTACAACTACTTAATCCTTTCGAGTGTTAGTAGTCGGTATGTAGTGAATCTTTTTTAGTATAACACCCACATCTCTAACAGTGTCTCACTTTTTACATCAGATTTCTGTTATTATCCACGTTAATTTTGCTAAAATCACAATTGTTCACACTATTAGTACTGTTTGATTTAGCACAACAAACTTATTTGCACTTTGTAACGAAGTCCATGAAAAGTTTGTACAATCATGATTATTTCCTTTTGATAATTATTTCCAGAGTTTTGCCACACACACTTAACTTTATACAATACTAGATAGTCAAGACAATATTTAAAATTTACGTATACAACTTTTATGCACTTTTAACCAGGAAAACAGATTTTTATTTACGAAGCTTCTGTTTTGCGTGTTGACACAACAGTAGTTCCCTCGACTGTTGTAATAAAATAACATTTTTTGAAGCAGAAGTTTTAAAAAAGATTAAATCTTTAGACCCCCAAAAAAGTGCAGGTCCAGACGGAATTCCTCCTATTTTCATAAAAAGATGCGGCTCTGCTTTGGCGTTTCCATTGACAGTAATTTTTAATAGTTCTATGGAAAGTGGAATTTTCCCCCAGGAGTGGAAAAAAGCACGAATAGTACCTGTATACAAGAAAGGTGATCGAGCGGACATTAAGAACTACCGTCCAATCTCAATTCTTTCGTGTTTTTCTATACTGTTTGAGAGTCTTGTGTATCCCCTACTTAGCAATCATTTTAAAAACATCATCACACATTCTCAACATGGTTTCAGACACGGATTATCAGTTCAAACTAATTTAACTGTGTTTACATCAGACTTGGCATTAGCGATTGACAGGGGAGACCAAATCGATGCTATATATACTGATTTCAGTAGCGCGTTCGACAAAGTAAGTCATCAAATACTTTTAGAAAAATTACATCAGTATGGACTTGGAACTACTCTAATAAGATGGTTTCAGTCATATTTAACACAAAGACCACTTACAGTAGCCGTGACTGGTTTTGAATCGGAGTTGTATTTTGCTAAGAGTGGGGTTCCACAGGGCTCTCATTTAGGCCCTCTACTGTTTCTGGTTTTTGTCAACGATATCACTGCCAACATCAAGCATTGTAAGTGTTCATTATTTGCAGACGACCTCAAATTATACAAGATAGTTAAATCGGATTCAGATGTAGATTTAATACAATACGACCTCAACGCTATTGTTGAATGGTGTCGTCTCAATGAAATGACTCTTAACGTGGCCAAATGTTTTCATATAAAATTTACACGGAAAAAAAACCACTTGTCTCCAGTTACTTAATTGGAGATGTCTTGTTGCAAGAAGTATCGCAAATTAAAGACTTAGGAGTCACTCTTGACGGGCGCTTAACGTTTTCAACACATATTGACAATATAGTTATTAAAGCTGCGCAAAACCTTGGTTTTATCAAGCGAAATACACAAGGATTTTCACGTAAAACCAAATTAATTTTGTACAATTCATTAGTGCGTAGCTGTCTCGAGTATGCCAGTGTCATCTGGAATCCACTGTATAGCGTACACTCCCAGTGAAAGTATTCAGCGTAATTTTACGAAACATCTTGCGTTTTATGAAAAGGATTTTTCGCACAGACAACTTTACAAAGAACGTTTGACAAAATTTAAAATGATTTCTCTTCGGTGTAGGCGCGAAATTTTAGAATTAAGTTTCCTATATAAAATTATCAATAACAATGTAACTAATTCTGAATTAACCGAGAGAATACTAATATCAGTCCCTTCTAGAACACATAGAAGTGCTCATATCCACAATATATTTTATACTCCTTGCGTTAGGACTAATATTGGCAAGCAAGCCCCCTTGGTGCGGTTGTTTAATAAATATAATGATATACTCAGATCAATACCTGGCATTGACATTTTTTATGATTCTCATCCAATTTTTAGAAATAAGATACTAAATTATTATAATATGCATGATCATTATTAATCTTAATTTAATTTTTTTTTTGTAAATGATTATTATTTCAATTTCTTTTATTATTATTGATTGCCTTTATAAAATGATATTATTTAGATTTATTTATTTTTTGGCTCTGTTTTCAATATTACAGTTATGATTTTTTTTGTACTTTTAATCATTGAATGTGGAAATGCTATGTACACTAGTAATTGACATACATATAAGTTATATTATTATTGTTGTTAATTAATATACAAATGCTGTGTATGTATGTTGTAAGTGTGCTTATCCAAATAAATAAAAAATAAATAAATAAAAAAAAAATGATTCAAGCTAAGACTAATGTTAACATAATATATACTTATCGAAGCAGCATTAATTTTCTCTATTATTTTCCATTATGTTATCATGACTTATACAGTGGGCGTTATATGGGAAGTGTTGGTTCAAATAAAAGTCGATGCAATCACAGTTGTATTTCAAATTAACAATAATCACTTTGTACATAGTTACACAGCACTTCACTACACAACCATATAGCAAGCACTTCACTTCACTATTACCACGTATAGACAATACGGAACGCAAGACAGTTTCTACTAGTGTTCACTGTGCGACCGACCAAGCGTAACTCAGCCGAGCCCGGTCGAGTGTCACAACGTAGACTCTGTCGAGCCCAAAAAGGTGGCGCTCGCGTTCCGATTAGTTGTGATTATGACTCGTCTCCGACACGGCCATCCTGCATGCACACGCCCTCGTGTGTTAGCCGTGTGTTAGCCTGCAACCAAATAATCAACGAAAATACTTGCTCGACTCGGTCAATCCTGACCAGATAAAACTTAACTTTGAATCTGAATCATCTTTATTCTAACGAAAAGCTTTAACGCTACCACCTTTTTTTTTTTAAACTCCAAGTCACTGTAATTATCTCTAATCTAACTAATAACATTAGTCATCCAGAGCCATGTACCAACATCATTCAACACTTCAGCAATCAAACTAATTTTCAAATTGACTAGCACCTCTGTAAACCACTCTTAGGCCACGGCTTTACAAGCCAACCAGCAATCACAATTGCTCCACAATCCAGATGCATCCACTACGGGATCAACGTATGTATCATCCTCTCGATGACTACACACTATGGTCATAACAGACCCCGACCTCCGCCAGAACTAAACGCACATCACACACCCACGGTCTATTTAGTTTGAGCTTCCTCAAAAGACCGACTTTTACTAGGCTATGACTACGTAATAGTTACTAGTACGGTCGACACTACTACGGCCGTCAGAATGCTTACATCGGTTTCCATCGACTTCATTAAAACATTTGCTTGGCATGATGATCATTATTTACATCAACCTCTATTGGTACATGACCTACTAGAATTTTTGTGTAAAGAATTTATAGCCGTCATGTTAATAGAAAACCTTTCAATATCTCATGTTCTATCATGATACCATTTTGTAACTAATAATTAGGCAAAACATGATATTTCAAAAGATTTCAAGAGAATTACCGTTAATTGTTACAAAACAAATTTTACTGTATGCGGAATATTCTGTTTTGATCAATACTAGAAATTGCAAGGACAAAATCGTTAACCACACAATTTGACTGCTAAATGTTATCTTACTAACGAATATTCAGCACCATGATCATAATAAAAGTAATACAGATTACCTCTATGCCATTGAGCATTCGAAGATGGTTGTACAACACATACATCCACGTGTCGTTCCGTTCGTGTTGCACCCATATTGCTGCCGTCCACTTGACTGGCACTACTTATGCACCGGAGCGTGATGTGACCAGGCTTGCCACGTTTGAAGCACACCAGACTTCACTGCAGGCTGCAATGCCGTTGCTGTCATCGAAGGTCGTTCCACACTGTCATTTACCTTGCTTCTACACTCTGACCGCTTATGACTCACTTTTCTGCACTTATAACATTTTAACATTAGCTTGGCTCGTTTAGCATCAGGCACTTTTGAAAAATCATCAGATAAACTAGCTTTGCGTTTCAAATGTGAGAATGCGTGCAATCCCTGCTGCAGTCGGTCTCGCGAAGCAATTTTCGTAGTAAAGGCCAATCGTTGTAATTTCGAATTAAACTGACATAAGTGAGCAAGGACAGTCGCAATTGCTATCTGATTCTTGCTAGCGTCTTTCCAACGATTAGTCAGTGACGTCATCAGGCTTTGCGTACGTAACGAGTTTCTTTTTTCATTTGGTTTGTCACTGTTAAAATTAATTAGTGTACCAGCCAATGTCTCGGTGGAAATAAATCTCGCCTAGAAAATCACTTTGAACTCTTCCTATGTTATTCTCTGGTATACAAATTGTGACAGCCACGTCGACCCTTATCCTTTTAATTCCTTACTGACTGTTAAAATAAGTTAGCCGCCGTATGGAGGGTATTCGGCAAAACACAAATCTACAGTCGCAAATCAAGATCTTGCGTCCGTATCCATATTGTCAGGGTCAAACTCGCGTAACTTGATGTTCTTCTTCATCCGAGGCATTTGCATGGCCTCGATAAGAGATCACATAATGACATTTTGTTGTTCAAACATAGCACGTCATTGTTCACTCAGAGAT